CCCAAATGACTGAAACTGTATAGTTTTTTAAACTTTGTTTGTTATTATGACAGATACTGTTCTTTGGTATTTTACTTGTACTCAAATTGAAATATGATGTTGCTTTCTTCTCATAGAATGTGACTTAATAAGAATTTAGGTGTTTTTGAAATGCAGGAAATTACAAATGAAGTTAACGAGACTCATGAATATTGCTCTGGGTTTGTGGAAATGATAAAGCCATTGCCCTATTGTGATCCAGCTCAGTCCTGATATTTTCTTCATTGTAAGACAATTACAAGTAAAAGTTTCCTACCAAAACATCAAGAGGTACCTTATTCTGTAATGACAAAAGGATTTGTTGATGGCTCACCACTGGATGCAGTTCTGGGTATGCTGAACTGCATTGCGCAGGGAATATTATAAAATGTCAGCACCTGTAGAGTTCTGCTAGTTTCTTTTCCAGACATTGGTACCAACCAAATTACTAATTGACCATTGTTGTGTGCGCGCGCGCGCTCGCTCTAGGATGACTATTGGTTTCAGTGGGTCTCAGTTTAGGGAGTTTCATTTATTTCTGAGGATGGTAATATGTGGCTTCTTACTGGATCAGCGCTGGCAGTGGGACCATTCAGTGAAAACTGTTCACAGTGACTCGGTCATTTTCATGATGTGAAAATTGTGGTTGATACTGCGGTGATGGAAATGTTTTCTGTCGTTATCATAGGACTGTGAATTTCATGAAATTCGGCTACTGAGATCAGTGGGGAACACTGATGCCTGAATAAGATGATTCCACGACAGTGGTCAGTTGAATTTTGCTGATCAGAGAAGTTTAATTCTGAATTTTTGCTTACTTACGTAAAATATTGTCCTGAAACCTAGTGAAGTGTTGTGTGTCACTCTGTGGGTGTGTTCCAGAAACATCAATTTTTAATAATTTAGCAGTTTATTTTCAGGCAGTGAATAAGCTTGGTTGCACATGAATTTCTGGAAGTTCTAAATGGGTAAATGTTGTGTGCAATATTTTTAAGTTTATGCCAGGGGCAGTTGTCATGATGCGTCATCCTCGGTTCATGTGGTCTGAGCATTAGCATTTTCACTGTGCGTGCTGTATGTATGAATCGTTAACGAGTTTGTGGAGAGTGATATAAAGAGTGGCATAAACAGTGCTTTTATAATTTGACTGCAAACTGTATGGGCATTTGGCAATGCCTAATATATATATATCCAAAGTCTAAAATAGTTACTTAATACTTGTTCCAAAGCAATAATTATTTTAATGCTAAAGCTTTACATGTAAGATATTAAAACCTATCCAGCAGGCTATTAACCAAAAAGATATGTAATGTGTCATCCCAAAGTGTTTTAATGCATATGAATAACTGTGAAGACCACTTTGAATTTAAAAGTGGACAATGCTGAAGAATGTACATATTTAATTATCAGAGGAGATTAGAAACAGTTTCATATGTGGCTAAATGTTCCTATCCTGTGTGCAGGGACCACAACCACATTGGATTAACCTTGTGGGTGCCATTTGCAAGTTTTGTAGTTATGAACAGGTCAGGTTGTTGAAATTATCTTCACATGTTTTGACTGTGATAGTTCATTCTCAGATTCCTGTTGAGTCTTAAAATGTATCAATAATTAAAGCTTTGTCACCTCTTGGCAGTGAAAATATTCCCTGCTAATTTTTTCTCAAGGCAGTGTTAATGACAGTTGATATTTAAATACAGTTAAGTAATTATCTACTTAGTGAGTACCTTAAACGCTTGATAAACAGAAGGTCGAAGCACACAAATATCTGATGCTTGCAGTGCTTAAAATTAAAAGCGAAATGTTATTCAAGGGTTTATAAGTTGTGGTGCCATGCGCAGAGCTGCTGTATGCTTCAGAAAATTAATTTTAACACAATTGGTAAGTGTAATTCCTTGTCAGGTTTTCTACCATGTTTGATGACGTGTTTATTTAAACTGAAATTAAGTCCTACATGTATTCAGTATCGTACTTTGTTATTTTTAAGTGGTGTGGTGGTGACAGGTTTTATTTTGATAATTTCTAATGTTGTGAATTAATAGTGGTCTTTGTGACATGTGTATAAAGTTGAATTTCTTTTCATGTAGAAAATTATCATAAGCTTCAGAATGATTTCTTGTCAAGAATCACGAATAATGCTGAAGATTTGCTTTCAAATAATGTTGGACTAGAAGAACTGGGGCTCATGTTGTCTCGGCTGCTCACAG